AAAGGAAAACAAGAAAAAAGGACAACTACAGTAATTACTATAACACAGACAATCCTGAAACAACAGTATTAATGAATAATAATTTAAAAGGGATATACTGGTAGATTGGTAAGGGAGCACCCACCTGCAAATATAGGTTACACTGTGGATATCTCTACATGCATATTTGTAGATGTTGTTTGTATACTAATACAGACAATAGAATACACAAGGAACACAGTCATGGAAACCTCTTATGCACAACCAAACACCTCCCAGGACAAAGATACTAGGCTTTAAGGCTAAGAACCATAGACTTGGGGGACATCTACATCAATTGGCATAACATAGCACGTAAGAACATTTTGGTGAGCAGCATCTGGGGTCTTAAAAGCTTGTGACTGGCCAACTAAGATACAACTAGGGGTCTCTTCCCATCCTAAGTAAAGGAGAGTGAAGAAAACCAGACTCAAGGGAGCAATTAGTCCAAAGGATTAACAGACCACATGCACCACATCCTACAGAACCCCAAGACCAGAAGAACTACATGGTACCTGGCTATCACTACAGACTGCTCTGACTGGGATCACAACAGAGGGTCCCAGACAGAGCAGGAGAAAAACGTACAATAAAAAATCAAATTCATAAAAAGATGACCAGATTACTGGTCTGATAGAGGCTGGAGGAATTCCCGAGACTATGGCCCCAAGACATCTCTCTGACTTGGAACTGAAGCCATTCCCAGAAACCACCTTCCAGTCAAACAACAGACAGGCCTATAAAATAAACAGTAACACTCGAAAAGAATGTGCTCCATAAAACAAACAATTATATGAGACCAAAAGGACAACATTTTCCCAAAAGTAAAGATGAGAAGGCAGGAAGGAGTAGGAAAACCAGAGGAAAGGAAACGGGGAACCCAGGACAGAAATGGGGAGAATGTTGACGCAGTGTGGGGATTGCAACCAACATCATGGAACACCTTGTGCACAATTTGTTGAATGGGAAACTAGTCTGCTATATAAACTTTCACCTAAAACACAATAAAATTAAAAAAAAAAAAAGTAATGTCAGAATTAACATCTTTTTAAATCTAGTTCTTTCTTTACAGAATTCCACACCATTCAAGGGAAAAACGAACAAACCTGCTGCCATCGAGTCAATTCCGACTCATAGCAACTCTATAGAACAGAGCAGAACTGCCCCATAGCGTTTCCAACGAGTAACTGGTGGATTCAAACTGCCGACCTTTCGGTGAGCAGCCAAACACTTAAACCACTGCACCACCAGGGCTCCGATTCAAGGGAAAGAAGGAAAGAAAGTTAAAAAAAAAAATCTCTTAACCAAAACCTTCCATGAAAATCAGCACCTTGGTCAGCCACATCTTTGGAAATTCATTGAAGAGGGATGAATTCAACCTGAGAGGCATGATCTGTGGAAACAATCACGACTCTAGCTGTAGCTTAAATTTTTAGAAACAGAATTAAAGTAAATGGCCTTAAATATACACACCTTGTCAAAATGCTCATGTTAGTACCTTGTGCTTCCCACAGCAAAATGACATACATCACCTTTTTTCCTCTCCCCAAAGTGGGTTAGCCAGTGTGTTAAACAGTAAAATAAATTAAAAATTCAGGAAGACATCTTCTGAGCCCAAAGATCTAGCTCTTCTGGGAAAATGCCTTCTTGGAATTTAGTGAATCACAACTTGCTAACTGTATTTACCTATAAAGCAGTTATTCAAAGGTTAATGACTTCATATTCACTTCTAATTAAAACTTACTTTTCAGCTACTTTTCAGTCTACAAACATTGATCATTTAACATCTACTGGTAAAAGATAATGATTCAACCTCTTCTAATTCTTAAATAGCGTCTACTCATTTCTGTTAAGTGGTAATCAGTTTATACTTAAAAGCCTCCTTAAAAATTAGCATCTTAAATCAATGAGCTTAGCAAAAGATTAATCAATGGGATGCTGGGACCACTGGCTGGTTATTTGGAAAACAGTATCTATCTAGAACCTCACACCAAATGCCAACGTGAACTTTTATAGACAGATTACAACGTAAAATGAAAAGAATTAAAATCATACACAGAGGGAAATACTTGTGCTAGCAAAACAAAACTAAATAGTAACAGTTAATTTTGAAGGACTCTTTAAGCATGAAAGCAATGGAAAAAATCTCAAAAACAAAATCAAGTGAACACATGAAAAATATAAACCCAAAAAAAAAGGGGGGGGCTTAAACAAAATTAAGGAATAGTTCTACAATAAATAAATACATTATTTAATAAGGATATATATACACATATATTCTTAATATATAGAAAAGCTCATACAAATTGATTTTTAAAATACATCAGAATCCCAATAAATAGTAATCATAATAAATAGGCACAGAACAAAGGACACACAAGCATCCAAAATTTGGAATACAAACATGGTTATTAACAACTGAAAAATACTCTCACAAACGCTGCAAGAAATGCAAAGTAAAATAAGATGCCATCTATGAAATCTAATTAGCAAAAATGTTACAGGGTATGGGCCACAAACAGTCAAACACTGCTGATGGTGGTGTAAACTGGCACACCTTTACAGGAAAGCATTTTAGCGATGTTTCAAGCAGGGCCTCCAACTAGTTCGAACCGGTTCAGGCATGGCCGGAACAGAGCCAAACATGTAAAATTGGGTCAAGCGGAATACGAACCCCAACAGGAAAAATTACACGTGGAAGCCCCGGAATGGGAGACCCCAAAGAGGCGTAGTGAGCCCTCTCTGGAGACTGATACAGGTGACTGGATTACTACCAGAACTGTGGAGAGTGACACACATTCAAAGCAGGCTGGTCTGCCACCATCTTTGAGTGGGGCACTGCTTCTCCCGACTCTGCTAGTCAAGAGATTTCGCTGCTATGCAACACACAGCCTGCCCTTGTTTTCTCAGGAGATTAAGTTTCTAGCAGGGCTTTGACCCATAATTTTTCCCGTTCCACTTAACGTCCCAGTTCACCCACTTTTAAAATTCCGGGTCCATTCGGGTGTCGCTTCATCAGCCATGACTGAACCAGGCAGAACCAGTTCAAAGACCTTGTTTCAAGAATCTTAAAATATATTTTACCTTCTCATATATAATTTCTGATTCTCATTTCTGAGACTCTACCTTTAAAAAAAAATCCAAATGCAATAATATTTATACACAAAAAAGTTTACAAAGTCTTACCTACAAGAGTGAAAAACTAGAAACACCACAAATATTCAACCAACAATGGGGAGAACATTAAGTAAAGAATGGTCTGTCCATACAATGGAATGTAATACAAGTAAAAATAATATTTATGAAAAATTTTATATGGTATAGGGAAATTCTTGTGCCAGAAAATCAAATGAGAAAACTGTCCCTGGTAACAACTGGTGGCCCCCAGGGAAGGGAACTGGATTACTGACAGGCATGAGTGTATTATCAACCCAAAACAAATTTTTTTTAATCAAAAACATGTGAAAAAAGACCAGAATAAAATGTGCTAAAATGGATTACCTCTGAATCTAATATACTGAGTTTTTTTCTACTTCTTTATATTTAACTGTAATTTCCAAATAATCTAAAATAAGCATACATTATTCTTATAATCAGACTTATAAACTTTCAGTGACAAGGAACTTGCTATCTTCTGAGCTATTCCAGTCAACATCTTTGGATACTTCTGACTTTTAGAAGGTTCTTCTCTACTACATGATAGTCTCTTTTATAGCTGCCACCCATACGATCTATCAGGCCATACAAAACAAATATCAGCTCCTGAGTTCACCCTTCTCCAAGCCAAGAAGTCTCCGTTCCTCTCAAAAGAGAAAAGGACCACTGATTGAACAGTTACTACGTGCCAGCATTTTTGCAGGTATTTTCTCATTTCATCCCTGCAACCCTCAAGGTAGGTATTGCTGGCCTCATTTTGGAAGTTAACCATCTGGCCCAAGTTCATCCTGATAATAAACAGCCCTTCAAGTGTTACTCTGGACCCTGTCTCTGGAAAGTGCCTTCCTGGATACTTCTTCCCCTCCGTCCAAAAAAAAAAAAAAAATTTTTTTTTAGAAGGATGCTTGCACTTTGGAACTCGATCTCGGGTTGCCGAGACCACCTTAAAGCTGCAGCTAAGGATAATACAAGTGACAGCATGAGATAGGCAGCAACCCAAGTGAGAGGTGAGAGCACTCAGCATGTGTTTGCAAGATAAAATTTCTTTATTCCTAAGTTTCGACTCCCTCCAGTGGAAGCTGGGAAACCTCATTTACTTTGCTGTTTAACAACAAAGGGGTAGAAGGAGGTTTTTACAAGCACAATAGAGGTTTTCTGGATTTTAAGAGCAGAGGAAAACACTTTCTTTCCCAGTCCAAAGTCAACTCTCCAGCAACAAGTACCAAATAATTTTGCCTGAAGAAACCTACCCTATGCTGAATGGCATTTGTATCTTTTCTGAAATAGGGCGATTTAGTGACTTCAGGTCCGTTCTACAGGGGAAGCAGGGGCCAGCGTCTTTCAAGGGCAGAAAATATATAGAAATCATTGCATTTCTGTCAACTAGAATGATCTGTTCCGCCATCCGTGCCCTCGGCCTGACCAGGCTTACGCGCAGGTGTTTGCTAATTTGCCGAATGAATGGGATGCTCCCTTTCCTGTGGCAGCACCACTGGCCCGGAACTGTCCTCGAATCTCCTTCCCTTTAACCAGGAGGCCTCCGGAGCGCTACGCAGCCCCCAGGACCATCTCACAGCCAGCCCAGGCCGCCCTCCCTGCCTGTCACAAGGCTCCAGCCTCCTCCCCACTCTGAGCATCTCCCCCAAGACGCCCCAGGACCCTGACCCTCAGTCTCAACGCCCATTTGCCAACGACGGAGCTCCTTCCTCAGCACTCAGGCAGCGCCCCTCAGCAAAGTAACGGACCACGCCGGCGGGACAATGACCACTTTTCTAAAAATAACCCCTCAGGACCCGCCCCCTTGGCTGCTGCTGCCCTGGCGGTACCTGCGCCGCAGACCAGACAGCCGGAGAGGACCAAGAGCAGCCGCACTGCCCCACCGTCCCCAGGCCCCCAGCCCCAGAGTCTGGGACCAGCTGCCGGTGAGACTGCCACTTTCATTCCTCCCGCCATGGTCGCTTCAAGCCGCTTCCTCCTCACGTGCCTCTCCCTAGCAACTTACTCTGAACAGGCACGGCCAGCAGCCTATCAGCTACAAGACCCGCCCCCTGACGACCAACCGAATGGGCGGAGCTTCGAGCACTCAGTCCTTTAAGGACTCTATGAATCCCGCGCCTTAGCAACTGATAGGAGAGGGCGGGAAAGCACTTTTCAGCCTATTAGAAAATTAGCAACGGCAACAGGAAGATCCCACCCCTTAACAACATGCTTCCGTCTCCAGTTTATTTACAACTCAGGCGATTGATGGCAAGCCTAACCAACAGAAATCAGAATGGGCGAGGCCTCCTTAACCAAACTCGATATTGCTGTGGAACGTGTTTTGAGTACCATCAGCCTTCTTTCCTCTTTATCGCGGTCTTTTTGCTACGGCAAGCCTGTAACTGAGATCTCTTTAAGGTCTTCCTGACGGGAAATTTTTCTAAAGTAAGACGGTTGACAAAAAGTTTGGACCTCCAAAGTCCTAAATGATTTAAAACGGCAGTCACAAAAAATTGTGTTGTCAATGTTTTACAGGCATAAACATTAGCATTTAAAAATGTAGTCATAAGACTTCATTGTCTCTCATGCTCCTTGGGTTACTTATTAGTTTACTAGGAAGCTAGCCACGGAAAGTTATCAATAACAGTTTCATGTTTGTACCAAAAAATTAAACCTGATCATAAATAACTGGTATTTTGACAATACTTTTACTGATAAGGGATTATTGGAAACCAGTAACATAATTTGAAAATAAACTCGAACCTCTCCACAGCAGTTTTATACTTTTCATAGAGGCCAAGGACTCATTGCAAAACATTTTTGGCAAGTATGAATGGTTACATTTGATCTAGGAACAATACATTTTAAACTGGTTTAGACTGGTAGCTTTTTTTTTCATTATTATTTTTTATTGTTGTACTTTAAGTGAAAGTTTACAATTCAAGTTAGTCTCTCATACAAAAATTTATACATAGTTTTGTGACACTAGTTGCTCTCCCTATACTGTGACAGCACACTCCTCCCTGATTTCACACCCCTGATTTCACGTGTCCATGCAACCAGCTCCTGATCCTCTCTGCCTTCTCATCTTACATCTGGACAGGAGCTGCCCATTTAGTCTCATGGATCTACTTAAGCTAAGAAGCACACTCTTCACAAGTAGTATTTTATGTCCCATAGTCCAGTCTATTCTTTGTCTGAAAAGTTGGCCTCGAGAATTGTTTTAGTTCTGGGTTGAAAGACAGCCCAGGGGACATGCTTTCTGGGGATCCTCCAGTCTTGGACCATTAAGTCTGGTCTTCTTACTAGAATTTGAGTTCTGCACCCCACTGTTCTCATGCTCCATCAGGGACTCTCTGTTGTGTTCCCTGTCAGGGCAGTCATTGGTGGTAGCCGGGCACCATCTAGTTCTTCTGGTCTCAGACTGATGGAGTCTCTGGTTTATATGGCCCTTTCTATCTCTGGGGCTAATACTTTCCTTGTGTCTTTGGTGTTCTTCATTCTCCTTTACTCCAGGTGGGTTGGGACCAATTGATGCATCTTAGATGGCCTCTTGCTAGCTTTTAAGACCCCAGAGGCCACTCACCAAAGTAGGATGCAGAACATTTTCTTAATAAACTTTGTTATGCCTGTTGACCTAGATGTCCCCTGAAAGGATGGTCCCCAGACCTCCGCCCCTGCTACTCTGTCCCTCAAAGTGTCTGGTTGTGTTCAGGAAACTTCTTAGCTTTGGTTTAGTACAGCTGTGCTGACTTCCCCTGTAGTGTGCTGTCCTTCCCTTCACCTAATTCTTGTCTACTATCTAGTTAGTGAATAACCCTCTCCCTCCCTCCCCACCCAGAAAACCATCAAAGAATGTTTTCTTCTGTGTTTAAACTTTACCCTGAGTTCTTATAATAGTGGTCTCATACAATATTTGTCCTTTTGTGACTGACTAAACTCACTCAGCATAATGCCCTTAGATCGGCAGCTTATTCTGAAGCAAAGGAAAAACAACTGAGCAAAAGTTTACCGTCTTTAGAACAATTTGTGAAAATATGGTCTAAAGGTGGTTTCTATTTTCCTGTTATTTTAAATATTATTGTACAGAGCTATTTTTTAATCATTTATCTTATTGTTGTTATTGTTGAAGATATAGACAGCAGAACATACACCAATTCAACAATTTCTACATGTATAATTCAGTGACCTTGATTACATTCTTCAGGTTGTACAATCATTCTCACCCTCCTTTTAGGGATTGTTCCTCCCCCATTAACATAAAGTAACTGCCCCCTAAGTTTCCTATCTAATCTCCCAAGTTGCTGTTGTCAAGTTGATCCCATATAGGTAGATCTTAAAAAGAGCACAATGCTCAAGGAAGACATTCTTTACCAGTTAAGCTAAACTATTGTTTGGTCTTAAGGAGACTTCAGGGGATATTTCTGGTTTAAGATTTAAAGATTATCTCAGGCAATCGTTTCAGTGTTCATCCAGCCTCCCTGGCTCCAGAAAATCTGGATTCCGTAAGAATTTGAAAATCTGTTCTGCATTTTCCTCCTTTTTGTCAGGATTCTTCTATAGAATCTTTGATCAAAATGTTCAGTAATAGCAGTCAACAATTACTTAAAAACAGAGATAAAAATGTAAGGGGGCAGGGAAACTAGATTAATGGAAATTGAATAACCAGAACGTAAATAATTGGAATGTTCACGCATTGTGGAAAGTGTAACCAATGTCACTGAACAACTTGGGTAGAAATTGTTGAATGGGAACCTAAACTGCTGTGTAAACCTTTGCCAAAAACATAATGAAAAAAAAATTATTTTAAGTTCAGTAATGGTAGCCAGGCACCATCCAGTTCTTCTGGTCTCATGGCGTAGGAGGCAGTTGTTCACAGAGGCAATTAGCCACACATTCCATTTCTTCTTCCTGTTCCTGACTCTCCTTCCTCCTCTCTTGATCCAGGCAAATAGAGACCAATTGTTGTACCTTGGATGGCCTCTTGCAAGCTTTTAAGACCCAAGGTGCTACACAACAAACTAGGAGACAGAACAGAAGCACTCAACATGATGTTAAGCCAATTAACTGGGTTATCGCATGAAAACATGACCCTAAACCTCCAAAGCAAGGAACCAAATCCCATCAGGTGTTTGGTTGTACCTAAGCAATCTCAGCAGCTACTCTTTGTTGTTGTTGATGTTGTAAATATATCTATCACACAACTTTTGCCAATTGAATTTTGTATAGGTGTACATATTGACACAATTACATTAATCGGCTGTGCAACCCTACCCTTAATCAATGCATTTTTCTGTCACCATAAACCAAAACTCAGTGCTCTGTAAGCAGTAACTCCTCCTTTCCCTCTCCCTCCCACTGTGGTAAACACTAATCAACTTTGTCTCTATATATTTGCCTGTTCTTGTCTTTTTATATAAGTGAGGTCATATATTTGTCCTTTTGTGACTGACTTATTTCACTCAGTATAATGTCTTCAAGCTCCATCCATGTTGTAGCATGTATCAAGACTTCATTTCTCTTACTGACGGGTAATATTCCATTGCATGTATGTACCACACCTTATCTGTTCATCCATTGATGGGCATTCAGGTTATTTCCACCTTTTGGCTATCGTGAGTAATGCTGCAATAAATATTGGTGTACATGTACAGAGCTATTATTAATGCCATTTTCTGTTGTTGTTGCCCCTATAACCCATTGCCGTCGAGTCAATTCAGATTCATAGCGACCCTATAGGACAGAGTAGAACTGCCCCGTAGAATTTCCAAGGAGCGCCTGGTGGATTTGAACTGCCAACCTTTTGATTAGCAGTCGTAGCACTTAACGACTATGCATTGCCCCTATAGACCTGTCTAACCTTTGGATGAAAGGTGAACCTTAGGAGTGACTTCAGTACTGAGTTAAAAGGGTGTCCGAGGGCTATACTCTTGGGGTTTCTCCAGTCTCCGTCAGACTAGCAAGCCTGGCCTTTTTGTATGTTTGTGTACGTGTGTGTGAATTTGAATTTTGTTCTACATTTTTCTCCCGCTCTGTCTGGGACCCTCTATCGTGATCCCTGCCAGAGCAGTTGGTGGTGGTAACCCAGGCACCATCTAGTTGTTCTGGGCTCAGTCTGGTAGAGGTTGTGGTAGTTGTGGCCCATTAGTCTTTTGGACTAATCTTTCCCTTGTATCTTTGGTCTTCTTCAGTCTCCTTTGCTCCAGCTGGGATGCAACAGGTAGATGTATCTTAGATGGCTGCTTGCAGGCTTTCAAGACCCCAGTCACTACTCACCACAGTCAGATGTAGAACATTTTCTTTATAGACTATGTTACACCAGTTGAGCTAGATTTCCCCCGAGGCCACGGTCCCCAACTCTCAGTCAAGTCGCTCGGTCTCTCAGGGTATTTGGCTCTGTCTGTGAAGCTTCTATGACTTTGCCCTGGTTAAGTTGTGCTGACTTCCCCAGTATTGTGTACTGTCTTACCCTTCACCAAAGTTACCACTTATCTACTACCTACTGTTTTTCCCTCCCCACCCCTCCCTCAAACAATCAAAGATTGTTTCTTTCTGTGTGAAAACATTTTCATGTGTTTTTACAATAGTGGTCTCATATAGTATTTGTCCTTTTGTGATCGACATTTCACTCAGCCTAACCCTCTCCAGATTCATCCATGTAATGAGATGTTTCGCAGATTCATCATTGTTCTTTATAATTTCGTAGTATTCCATTGTGTGTATGTACCATGGTTTATCCATTCATCTATTAATGGGCACTTAGGTTGTTTCCATCTTTTTGCTGTTGTGAACAATGCTGCAATGCACATGGGTGTGCACGTCTATTTGTGTGACGGCTCTTATTTCTCTAGGCGATTCTCCTGGGAGTGGGATTGCTGGATAGTATGGTATTTCTACTTCTCGCTTTTTAAGGAAGCACCATATTGTTTTCCACAACGGTTGTACTGTTTTGCACTTCCACCAGCAGTGCATAAGAGTTCCAATCTCCCCGATCTCCCCCC